TTTTCCCAGTCCGGTCATCATATTGTCCGTCTGCGTTTTGCCTGCCTTACCTGTAATTGAACCCCGTATTCCCCGATACCCTGACGCCTGCGCCTTTGTCGCCTTTCTGTCCCCGCTGGGCACAACAATATTATTATAATTAAATGTATTAATGGTTTATTTTTAATATTAAAATAATAAGAAATCATTATTTTAAAATGTATTTTATTATATAATAATAATTACTGTTACTGTCTATCATTGTCTAAATGTATTTTTACTGTCTAAATATATGTATTCAGCTAGTGTAAACATGCACGATGCTATCACAGCTAATGCGAGGCTGAGACTGAAGCTTTACCGTTTGTTTCCGCTGAGAGAAGTGCCGACTCATTTCCCCACACGTACAAGTTATCTTAGGTCGGTGTTCACGGTTTGACTTCTGAGATTCAGATCGAGTTCCAGGTAATTTTTTTTTTCGAATTGGTTGGTTCAACTTTTAAGAAATTGGAGTTCTAATGAGTTCGAGAACTGAGGTACCACTGTATTTATAACATATTACACTGTATTACCTTCCTAATGAGAGGTAGTCACAGACTTGCAGTACATAAAAAACAGCAGCATAAAAGCGTTGCACACTTCTGCTCCATGTCTCATTTAAATTAGCCAGGAGCCCTGCTTGTGATGATATAGATCGTCTTTTAGACAGCGTCTTTGTATGCATGTATGTTGTAGTGCACATGCTGAATTATAGTGTTGTTTTATTATTTTAGCAAAGCTAGCCCTTGCTTGAAGTGTTAAATCGCTGATCCAGGAAGGGGGCAGACCGCGAAATGCAGGAGACTGACAGAGCTGATAACACACAATGCCAAAAGGGACATCCGTGACAATAGTGAAGGGTCGACGCTGAAGGGTCGAAGGGGAGATCAGTCCTACAAAGAGGGACAACAGGATGAGACGATGGGATGGATCGGGCAGGGCGAGTGGAGCAGGCTGGCAGGACAGGCGAGGTAAGCAGGAACGGGGATGAAGGCAGGGCGAGCGGGACCAGGCAGGGACGCAGGGCAGGCGAGACGGCAGGGTACGACGACACAGGCAGGGAAAGGAGAGGAGACATGAGACAGATAAATGCTTGGTAATGTTCAGTACATGGCAACAATACTTTGCGACTGCTGTTAGTGCATTCAAGCTTTAAGTATTAGACCGGCTAAAGAGGATGATCATTAACTGCTGTGCTGCCCTGCCCCTGTGGACCTGACATGAAGTCTGTGTGATAAGTGTATATGTGGATAAATCTGATATTGCCCACATTAAACAGAGTAATGTGAACAGGCAAACAAAAATCCGATCTGAGCAGAAAATCAGAATTGAGCATTAAGGTCTGCAGTGTGAATGTAGCCGTAAATACAGTTGGGATCATCCCTGTCTCTGGATTTGCATTCCTTTAACAGTGGTTCCCAAACTGGGGGGCGCAGAGGTATTGCGGAGGGGCGCACCAATGGGATAGCCTCAGGGGCATGTGCCACCCTAAAATAATCTCTTCACAGACTGGACGATTAAACAAATAAAGCAGCGCAACATTACAGTAACTAACAAAAAATGAACCACTAACTTATGTGTACTATTACAGCATTTATGTAATTTATTTAAACTTTATTTTGCCAGGTAAATTAACAAAACCAGTTCTCACTGCTTTACGTGATATTCGGGAGAAATAGCAGATAACGCATCGGAACTTCCTGGGATACAAACGTCATACAAACGTCACGTTCTTCAGCCAATAAGGGCAAAGTTGTGTTGTCACGGAGGCTGTTCCAGTTTGTGCAGCTGGCTGAGAGGTGCTGTATGATCTGTCTTAAGTCGTCTTGCTCTTGCAAGGTTTTTGTACCATGTGACATGGTGACGCGTGACGACGTTTTGCAGCGCCGGACAAAAAAATCTAACCACATCATGAAAAACGAGGTTTAAAATTTTCTATCAATGAATGGGTATGATTTAGTGTTGTTTTGTGCTATAGTATAGGCTGAAACCTGCGGTTATCATTAAAAACAAAATGCGGTAATCATAAGACAAACTTTAATTTGTGTACGCCAATGAATATTAACAGGAATGTTAAATCTGCATTTGCATAATTTCAAATTTATGCTGGACTTTTATTTTTAATTGATTGTTCTTTTTTCTCCCACAGTGGTGAAATTATACCATTTGTATTTTGTAGTTGCATTTATTTCGCTCAATTAGAAAAGGGAGTTGTATTTCAAATAAAGTTTGAATCTGAACCTGTGTAGTTTGAATGGGGGGGGGCTCAATAATGTTCCTATCTAGAATAGGGGGGCCCTGCAGAGAAAGTTTGGGAACTACTGCTTTAACTTTAAGATTTCGTGGATATTCTGCACAGATTTTCTTTTCCTACGATATTTCCTTGGCAGGGTTGACCCAACACCTGTATTTTCTTTCCCTGCAGATCTTACATTTACAAAGAACTACTTTGTTATGTGAAAACATGCCTTGGCACGATGGTTCTATGAGTAGCACTATCACTGTAAACCTCCAGGCTTGGGGGTTTAAATCCCATCTCTGTGTGAGGGGCTTGCAAGTTCTTCCCATGTTGCACCATGGCTTTCCTCCTGTTGTCAAAGAATATGCAGTTAGGTTGGCATAGTGTACATGTGTGCTCTGTTATGGACTGGCTGTACCCCAGGAGGAACCTTGAATATGTATAAATATAGATGAGGAAGTAATGGCCACCTGCATGTGAGTAAAAAGGGTCTGGAATCTCCCTGCCATGACTGCACATAAAGAGAACTGGGCCATTGGTCTGAGGTTAAACAACCCAGAATTGTTCCTAATAAGTACAATGAAAATTCTCATGCTTAAAGTAAAGGACACTTTTTGGTTTTGCATATTCAGCAGCATAACAATACAAATTGATACAGGTCTATACTGGTAATAGGCAGGCACTGGTAATTGCTAGTATATGAAATGGGAGGAAAATACATATGTGTGTGAGAAGATTGATTGGCAATACAAATTATCAAACCATTAACCTTTTGATCTAAGAAGACTGTATGGTAAAAATAGATTAATAGCATTAAACACAACTTTAAAGCACATAGGCACACTGGGCTTGTGAGAAACAAGAATCTTTTCAAAATCCTGCTTGATGGTGATTTAACTGTTCTACTGTGTTTAAAATCTAATAAAGTGACCTGTCACTCAACAAACTTTTAAATATCCATTGATATGCCATTGACACTAACTGATACTAAAACACTGTCAGGACAGAGACTCAAAGCATTCAAGTAGAAACACATTTATTGGCTTTCACATACATGATCTAAGACAAGGAACCCCAAACTGGGCCATCCATCCACTAACAGCAGGTCTTCTGCCCACTGGCCCCTGAGACCTTAAGAGAGCTAACTGCAGGAAAAATGAAACCAATGGGACTTGGGGATGCTGACTGGAAGGATAGCTGCAGGAAAAAAGTGCAGAAAACTCAAAACGACTAAGCCACTGACTATGCTGACAACCCTGACAAAATCCACAGGAAAAACACCAACAAACTAAACCAGGCCCCACAAATTTGACCCTGAATCACATACAATACTGAGTCCTACACTCTAAGAACAATGATAATGATTGATGGTGACTAAGACTAACTAATTGCCTCCGAGCAAGATCACAGAGCAGGTTCCATTACCTGTTTACAAATCTGCATCATTTGCTTATTCATTATAAATGAATATTGTGAATTTTTCTGTTTGATTCCTTTCAAGACGTATGTAAATGTTTCCTGTATATTAATTAGCCCTGTTAATAATTACTATGAAAGCACTGTTTTGCTATGATCACTCTAATAAATAATAGACTAGTATTTAACATAGTATTTATGGTACTTTCCTTAATGCTTCCTTTCAAGTAATTGTTTTGTTGCATCGTGCACATTTTCATACTTCTGCTCCTGTCATCTTGATATAGAAGGCTATGTTCAAGATGATAAGATCAGGTAGGTGTGCCTAGGTATGCTCCATCTATATTATCTGATTTACCAGTTGACCAGTTCCTGTCCCAGAGGCCCATGATTGGTCAATTTTGAGCAATGCAGCAATTTGTGAATGTTTGTGTGAATCATGATAAAGAAACAAAGGGCTTGATCTCTATAGAATGTTTGCCACAGCACCATCTCAGGAAAAGGTCATGAAAAAACAACGATTAAATGAATCCTGAAGGCAGCTTTTTTCTGGTTGTTATGGTTAGGTGACCTAAATTACAAACAAATAATGCACATATGCTGAGACCATTAATAATACATATTACTTGTTTAATTAAAGAAGTTAGAAAACATGATATTTCTTTCACTTGAAAACAAAGTGTAACTTTGGCTTGCATTTAATTTTTTAGTATTCAAAGCAGGGTGTCTCCCTACCTGACTCAGAAATAAGGGTCATTCTCGCTCTGGGAGATACAGCAAATTGAGCATTGTCAAAGGAATAGGGAGAAACAGACAAATCATCTGGAGATGTGAGTGGAGATGGGATAATGAAGCCATAAAAAATGAAGAACAACAAATGATAGCAATTTATTTGCCAAAACAGGAGGAAACATACATACAGAAATCGAATAGACATTAGGTCAAGGAAACGGCTGCAATTGGGGTCAGACAAGAGAGTCTGGGTGTTTTTATCATTTTACATAGATTGATTATAAGGCATAGGTAAATGCTTCCACTTCACAATAAGTAACTCACTTTTTTCTGACTGTTAAACAGATAAGAGCAATTTAATTTTAAGTATATTTGGTGTTGTAGTTATATTTTATTGTTTGTTTATATACTGTACTTTAAGCAAAAAGGGAATAGGTAATGCACTTAATAGTATATGTAAAAAGCATAATATACTGTGTCCAGTGAAAAGGTACCGAAGGAGACCTGTGAAGACATGACTTCACCAGGCTGAAATAGAAACTCAGAGACTTCCTCCCTGAAATGCCCCCACCTCCCACTCACAGTCACACTCAAGACAAAGAGCAAACTGACCGTTATCCTTTACCCAGGGCCGCCTGCTTACATACCACACAGGAATGCCATACATTTCATGACCATCTCACCTGAAGGTACCTGTTGTGTCATATCTCACGCTGTAGGAGGGACGCAATCTACACCTGCTCATCTTATCTCCCTTACCAACTCAAGAATGGGCCAGACTATCTGTGTTATGACCCCAGTGGCTGTGCTTCTTGGTAAGTAAGTCTGCTATTCCTTGCTTACACCACAGAAGGCATGATATAGTTGTTTTCCTGTATCTATATATCAAGATAAACTAATATTAGCGATAGGTTATTTTACACTGTATGAGCAGAAGGGCTTTGGCAAATTTCAAAAGCTGCTTTTGTATTTTTATACTTGTTTTTATGTGGACCCAATAAATAAACACTGTGCTTTGTTAGTAATATAGCACATCTACGTGTGATAAAAAAGTGAATGTAAACATTTATTCCTTTTTTTTTTATATATATATGTTGTAATTAAACATAAAGTTGTCCTCCGAAGAGGGGGGGTGGTGGTGGGCAAAAAAAAAAAGTAATATAGCACTGATGAAATATAGTTATAATCTGTTTGAATGTTATGAACTGTTACAGTAGATCAGACCGCTGCTAATTACATTGAATGTAAGTGTACATCTGTCATATGATTAATTTGTATGGTTAAAGTATAACTAGCCTTAAAAACACAGTGTAATTCAGTGTTACACTGGCCAAAAGTGACAGGAAGTGTATAGGGTAAACATAATAACCTAAATAAACACAAAACACGTTTCCTTTAATAAGTCGCATACATTTTAACTTCAGTCTGCCTGTAATATTGATATATATGGCAAGCATTGGCATTCAAGTGTTCGCACCCCCCTCTGAGGAACTTATATTTTATGTTGCTGTGTGGAATAACCTATAAATATAAATATAGTATTAAATAATCTATAAAGCACATCAATAGTAGTGTCATACTGGATATTTTTTATTTTTACAATATTCAGATTGCTATTTATTTTACTTCAGTCAATGCATTCACCACCTTGTCGATGGAAACTTTTTTTTTTTCTTTTTAAGTAGTAGAATAGACAGGAACTAGTTAGTGACTAAGTTTCCTTTTAAGTCAGCATGCCAAACTGAAAGGGTGTGCAAACCAAACTATGAATTTCCTATGAATTATTTTCAGAGCCAGTGTTCTGTTGTGGTTACCTAGCACTGCAGAAGTACTTGGCTATTTTTTTAGCATAACCAAAAGTGTTATATACATTTAATGATTTGTTGATGCAAACCAAAGTACATTTAGCTATCAGTCTGATATTCAAATGGTGGCTCTTTTATTTGTTAGTTTGACTATTTTGTTATTTATTTTTAAGGTCCTGTGTCTGGCCAACAGGGTGAGTGTCAGCAGGCCAGAGCAATTATACATCGATTGTTTTGCAGTCACTTCATTTATTATTATATCTATTAAAGTATATCTTCTGACTTTAACCCACTGTCCCCTTTAATCTTTCCTTTACCAGAGTGTGGCAGTTGCTACATGCTAGACACAGGCACCTTGGTGGGCATCATCATAGGTGATATTATTCTCACTCTTTTCATTGCACTCTCAGTCTTCTGCTTTGTCTCACGTCTGAAAATGCAGAATGGCCTGGAGGCCCTGGAAGGTAAGCTGTGATCCTTGTGTTTGTGTCTGTGTGTTCTCTGTGTGTGGTTAGTACTGCCAATTAAGCCTTATGGTCTATGGCTAAATGAAGTTGATATTCAATATTTAAAAATGCTGACAGAAGAATTACAGGGAAATTATGTTTCTGAAAATACATGAACAAGCTTTAAGATGGATCTATCAATTGTAATAATGGAAGTGTAAAACATAAATGTTGCATGTCACTTTCATAATTATTTTCAATATCTACTCATATTTATCAGTTGTAGATCCTCTCTAAATCATCAGATGAGAAATCAAGAGACCTATATGATTTATTTTTATATAATGTGGCATGATCCTTTAACAATCTTTTCTAGGTAAAGGAAAAATACACACTTCATCTAAAAAGAAAAAGGCTGAGGACTTAGCAGAATCTCCATATCAGGTATAAACAACTGGCACATTCCCTTTTTCACTGCTCATCCAATACATTTCTTGTTGTTTAATTTGTATAGGTTGTACGTCTACACAAAATATGATCATTAAGAAATTCAAGTACATTTAAAAGAATCCCAGGATAATTCCCCTCTTCCAGCTCATAGCTCCCTGCTATATTTTCATTATTAATAAATAGCATTTCTTATTTATTTTTTCAACCACTTCTTTTGCACATCTCCGTAGGAGTTGCAGGGAGTACAGAACGATGTGTACAGTGACCTAAGAAAGTTCCGGAAATAAGCCCACTCAAAACGGACTTTTTTTGTGGTCAGTGTTTTACCCAATCTTTCATAGTTGTTTGTCAGGTCATTCTGTCATGTCAATCTACCTAGCTAGAGAAACCTCCTTGTAACAATCAGGAATGGTACTTGCATGTAGCAGTGGACAGCAGGTGGGCTAAGTAATGTGATTTGTTCTCAGACTATGTACAGTATATAGAATTCTAAATAATAATTTCTTTCCCTAATTTTCCCTAGGGGCAATAATACAAACACAAACATACACACGGGTTTGTAATTATACCATTGTGGGGACTCTCCATTCATTTACAGTATATGGTGAAAACTCAACAATGCCAACATAATGACCTTAACACCTACACAGCAATAAGCTTACCCATAACTAACCAAACAAAATACACAAGACTTTTGGCATTTTTAGTTTTTGGATTGCATTCACAGATCTTTGTGGAGTTCCCACAACATCAAAAAAACAGGTTTTTATCACATTGTAGGGGACATTTGGTCCCCACAGTGTAATACAAACATAATACACACACACACACATACACTCAGTGATGACTTTATTAGCTATTCCACATAGTACCATGCAGTACTTGTGGTCTTCCTGTTAGCTTTAAGCCTAGCCATTCTCCTCTGACCTCTTCATTAACATGGTGTTTTTGGCTGCACAACTTCTACTGACTGGATGTTTATTTATTGCATCAATCTCTGTCAACTGTAGACACTGTAGTGTGTGAACATCTCAGGAAGTGGCTGTTTTTGAGATGCTGTATTCACTGTCTGGCAGAGTCTATTCACGCTAATAAAGTGGCCACTTGATGTATTGTTCTATATGCACACAAATATATACACCTGCATATAATGTGTTTTATATTTTATGTTGTTTTTTTATGTACTGTATATAGTGATGCTTAAAAGTTAGTGAACCCTTCAGAATTTTCCATACTCTGGCATAAATATGACTTAAAACTAGTGCTGTCAAATGATTAAAAATTTTAATCAGATTAATCACATGGTTCCTGTGGATTAATTTTGATTAATCATCATTAAATATCATTCATTTTTAATCTATATTAATCACATTTCATTTTGCATGAGCAAACAGACTCAAGAAAAAATGGAATATATATGCACTTAACATGTTTATTGAACATCTTGAACATGAGTCGGATGCATTCCATCTGCCACAGAAGTGCAATACCATAGACCCATATCAAAAAGCAAGATTTTTTGCGTAGCCGGACAACTTGTCGAATTTAAGGTACCTCAGTTTAAATGGTCTTTATCTTCGTTCGCTTACAATTAGCACGAACTACCGTAAATCCGACAAATAATCCAACTAATCATGAAGTCCAATTCTAGCCCGGTTAATTGCCATTGTTAGCAATATCAGTTGATAACACATTACGTCCGGTGCTTTACATATAAAACTCCATAGCAACACATCCACAGATAAGTTGGACGGTATAGCGTGTGCGACCGATTTAATGAGCCACAAATGAGAAGTAGTGCTTAAACAGTATAAGACTACAACTTTCCCTTCTGTTGATAAAGGGCGCAGCCATCTTGGATTCTGAACTCGGGATCCTCTGTGCTGCTCCGAGATATTTCTCGGATGCCGAGAAACGGGAGCGCATGTAGTCACTTCCGGCTTCAAAACTCCGGAATCCGACTCGGAATACAAGTTCCGAGGGGAAATGGAACGCACTAAAACTACCCGAAATGGGTTGACAGAGACATTTCAGTGATTTTGAATCATTCTGCGCTGCAGATGGGTTAATTGCGTTAAAAATTTTAATCAGATTAATCATGGTGATGGATTAATCCACATTAACCCATTAATTTTGACAGCTCTACTTAAAACATAATCAAGTCCTAAAACTAGGCAAAGAGAACATAGTTGAACAAATGAGACAAAAATATCATACTTGGTCATTTATGTATTGAGAAAGATTATTCAATGTCACAAATCTGTGTGGCAAAAGTATGTGAACCTAGCAGGTGATTTGAAGGCGAGATTAGAGTCAGGTGTTGTCAGTAAATGTGATGACAATCAGATGTGAATGGACACCCTGTTTATATTAAAAGAATATGGTTCTATCAAGGGCTTCATCTTCACACATGTTTGTGTAGTATCAGTGTATCATGCCATGAACAAATGACATTTCAGAGGATCTCACAAAAAGAATTGTTGGTGCTCATCATGCTGGGAAAGGCTACAAAACCATTTCCACCAAGAGTTTGGACTGCACCAATCCACAGTCAGACAGACTGTGTGCAAATTTAGAAAGTTTTAGACTATTGTTACTCTCCCCAGGAGTGGTCCACCAACAAAGATCACTTTAAGGGCAAGGTGTATGATTGTAATAGTGGTGGTAGTATCATGGTTTGGCCCTGTTTTGCTGCTTCTCGGCCAGGATAGCTTGCCATTGTGGATAGGACAATGAATTCTGAATTCTACCAGCGAATTCCAAAGGAAAACATCAGGACATCTGTCCATGGACTACATCTCAAGGGCAACTGGGTCATGCAGCAATACAACCACCCCAAGCACATACGTAGTTCTACCAAAGACTAGTTGAAGAAGAATAAAGGTTTTGGAATGGCCAAGTCAAAGTCCTGACCTTAACCCAATAGAAATGTGATGGAAGGACCTGAAGAGTGCAGTTCATTTGAGTAAACCCAGCAAAATCCCTGAGTTGAGGCAATTCTGTATGGAGGAATGGGCTAAAATTCCTCCAAGCTGATGTGCAAAACTGATCAAGACCTATTGGAAACATTTAGTTACAGTTATTGCAGTAAAAGGGAGTCACATCCAATACTAAAAGCAATATACTTTTGCCACTCACAGATTTGCAACACTGGACCATTTTCATCAATAAATAAATTACCAAGTATGATATTTTTGTCTGTGTTCTCCTCACCCACTTTCAGGATTTGAGTGAAAATCTGAAGATATTTTAAGTCATATTTATGCAGGAATTTGGAAAATTCTGAAATGTTCACTAACTATCAAACACCACTGTATTTGGAGGAATAGATGGGTGGGGGATTAGATGGAATACAGCTGTTTGTAAATTTGTTGGAATGCATTAAATTTTACATCCTATTATTAGTAGCGGGTAGTTTGGATATTATGTGACCAGTTACTAAGAGACTTGAATGTTTTGTGATTTAATAAAATTTAATTCTATTTCATGATATTATACAGATTATAATTGTACTTGTATAGTGACAATAAAGATATTTTGTAGATTATGATTTATCTAATTAGTAGATAATTGGCATTTATGCAATTAAACAATAAAAACTTTTTATAAATTATTTATTACATGATTTTAAGGTAAAAATATTCTTTATTATAAAATAATTAGTTATGACCAAGAAATCTGATTGGAAAAGAGGTGCTCTATGAGTGCTGTTATAACCGCACCCAGACATTTCACATCAGTTGTACCACTCCGCTTTACAGGTGTATCTAAAAAGCTTTACTTAAACGTAACCCGCTGTCCGCAATTCCCCCATGGGATCAAACAGATATCTTGCCAAACTATCTAAAACACTCTGAGTTTTGTCATTTAAACATAAAAAGACACCCCCAGAAACCTTGAATGGTCTACTTTTCAAATATACAGACGTGGACAAATTAAACAAATGAAAATGGCATGGACAAAAAAGATGATCTTTTGCAGCAATCACTCTCAACAAGCGATCTCTGTACTTCACAGTGCCAACAGATAGTTTGGCCCACTCTCAGGTTTGAAAGGTGGCATCTCCACTGTCACGCCCCGCTCCGTCCGCTCCCGATGTGTGCCACGCCCACCTCGTTACCTCGTGTTCAGCCCTAATTGTGATTGCCTGTGTCTTGTTAAGTCTAGCTTGTCTTGTGTATTTAGTCCTTGTCTGAGTCAGTCTTCCCCAGATTAGTCATTGTATTGTCCGTACCTGTCAGTCTGCGTGGAATAAACCCCGTTACCCTAACTTCCTGGCTGCTTTCGCCTGCTTCCCTGCTCGCTTTAAGCCCGAACGTGACATCCACACTGCAATTTTCTGATTTTTCCATAGATGTTCAATAGGATTAAGATCTGGACTCATGGAGGGCCATTTAAGAATAGTCCAATGTGTTTTTTTCTCAGCAATTCTTGAGTGCTTTTTGTTGTATGTTTTGGGTCATTATCCTGTTGGAGGACCCATGACCTGCAACTGAGGTTGAGCTTTCTTACATTGGGCAGTATGTTTCACTCCAGGATGTCTTGGTAGTTTTGAGACTTCATTGTGCCCTGCACAGATTCAAGGTTCCCCGTGCCAGATGCAGCAAAGCAGCCCCAAAACAAAACCGAGCCCCCTCCATGTCTCACAGTAGGTATGGTGTTCTTTTCTTTTAAAGCTTAATTTTTTCCTTATGTAAACATAGAGCTGATATGACTGACCAAGTTTTGTCTCATCAGTCCAAAGGATATTCTCCCAGAAATTTTGGGGCTTGTAAACATGCATTTTGGTGAATTAAACTCTGGTTTTTTTTTATGATTTTCTGTCACAAGTGGAGCCCTCCTGGGTCTTCTTCCATGGAGCCCATCATTGTTCAAAATGCGATGGATGGTGCGATCAGAAAGTGACGTAGCTTGAGCTTGCAGCTCAGCTTGAATGGTTTTTGATGGTTTCCTTGGCTCTTTTCTACCATCTGCACTATCCTTCTGATCAACCTAGGGTTGCATTTCCACTTGGGTCCACGTACTGGGAGGTTGGCTACAATCCCATGAACCTTATACCTTTTAATAATATTGGCAACTGTGGTCACAGGAACATGAAGCTACTTGGAGATGGTCGTATAGCCTTATCTATAATCTTCTTTCTGAGCTCCTCAGACAGCTGTTTCCTTTGCTTTCTCTGGTCCATGTTCAGTATAGTGCACAGAATGATACTAAACAACACCATAGCATGTTCTTTCCCTTCAAATAGGCTGAATGGCTAATGAATAGCTTGAAGGCACCTGTGATACTAATTAAACACCAGAGATGGGGGACTCGAGTCACATGACTTGACTCGA